TCGATCGAACGCTGGATCTCCGAGCCCAGCACTACGCGCCCTGCCTCAACAGACTTTGCTGTCCCGCAGGCTGCCCTGCCTTCGGCACCATGAGCTCTCCTCAGCAAAACGACCTCCCAGCTTCCAGAACCCTGATCTCATTAACCTTCTGCTCGTCTCCCTGTCCGTCTGATCCTCTTGTGGCATCGAGTCTGGTGTTATTCAATCTAGAAGCAAAATAAATAAGTCAGTAATAAATCATGGCACGCTCCTCAAGGGCTAGAGACAGAGAAATCACGTATTCTTGTTTTCTTGTTTCTTTTACTTTGCATTCTGGTTTCAGAGTAATTAAGTGATATTTCTGTTGGATTTTCGAATTTTTTTTCCATTACCATGAAGATCGGACTGCTCGTGAGGGAGCGCTGGGTCCTGGGGTCGGGGTGGTCTGGCATCTCCATTCTTCCCCACGACTCCGTGCCGGGAACGCTCTGGCCCTGCTGGTTTTTGCTGCTGGTTTCGGGGTGGCTGCGTGCGTGCGGCGGCGCTGAGCCTGCGGGCTCTGGTTCACTGCTCGCAGCGTCCCTCCGCGCTGGTGGGTGCAGACCCCAGGCACCCTGACCGCGTGCGGGATTCCGGTCCACAAGGGCAGCCGGTTTCACATCTCTGCGGGAGCCGTGCCTGCTTTCTGGCACACAGTGCCGCAGTTGCCTGTCTCTTCTGAAGATAACAGAAAGAAGAATCCTTTAGCAGAGCGTTTTGGTGACTCTGTCTAAAATTCGATTGCATATTTCATGTGGTCTTCTGAATATTATCCTTTTCACTTTTTGAAAGATACCTTTAATTTATGAATAGCTCACTACGAAAGAATCTGAATGTCTTACTTTCGAGTTCGTTTGTTTTTGCACTGCAAAGTAAGGCTTGATTGCTTACATTTTTCTTTCCCCCCAAAAAAATAAAATCCCTGTACTGCTTGGACAAATTACCTCTCCTTCCAGCCAGGCTACAGCTTTCGCGACTAATCTGTCTTGGAGCTGTCCGTGGATTTTTATTTATGTTACTAGAAATAAGCAATTCACTGCAATGTGTTTGTACTCTGCGGGCTGTGTCTGTGATGGAAGTCCTTGGGCTAGTGGCAAACATCAGTAAATCTCACTTGGCTTTGACTTCAGTACCTGGAGTGCTGACTCCAGATTTGGAGCGCTTGCCTTGAAATGGAGCACAACAAATTCCAAGCGGGGAGAAGTTTCTCTGTTAAATTCCTTGCTGCAAAGGGAATAATTTTTACAAAGATTGTAGAAAGGCATCTATCGTGTGAGGATGGGTAAATGCAGCCGTGCGAGCAAAGGCAATGTAACAGGACGTCATTTCATCTCTGGCTAAAGCTGGGTGTGAGCTGGGTGGGTGCAGTGCGGGGGTCCCCTCGGTGCTGGGCGGGCTGGGGCACAGCACAGGGGGGGCTCCTTCCCCGCAGCCGGGCTTAGCATTAAAAACCTCTCGCTTGAAACCAAGCACGACCCGAAGGACTGGACCAGCTAACCAGCGGTGTCAGCGGGCACGCAGGTCCCAGTTCGGTGCTCTGATGGCTGCTGGGGGGTGAAGAGGAGACCTGGCTGGGAAGGTGGGTGAGGCTCACCGACCCAGCCCAGCAGCACGGCAGCTCGCAAGAACGCTTTCCTTCCTGTTGCTTGATGTGGGTAGATAGAAAAATACATGTTTTGTGCTGAAAGGAAAGGGACGTACAGTTACACGGTCCCTAGAACTCCTTGAACTACTCATGCACATGCAATGAGTCAGGGAGTCAAGGTTTTATTTTTTAAGTCTTGTTTCAAATTCCTGGCACTGAGCATTTTTATTCGGCTTTGAATATTACTGCGTGTTTATGCAGAATCGTGTGAGCTGATGTAGCAAATGCAGCAGCTTCAGACCAGGAACCGTGCTGGGGTCTCTCCAATCCGCAGCCTGACTTCAGGTTTGCGTGTGAGCGGCTGGGCGGTTTGTTACTGTGTACCGATACGCTAGAGGCTGCTGGGTGGAGTTGACCGTGGTCTGGGTGTCAGAGCTGCTAGAGTTCATTACAGCAGTAGTGTCAGAACACCTAAAAATATCTCAGGCCAATTCTGTTATCAGCTGTGCACTCAGATTTCCCCGGTGAGGCGGGGGGAACCAAGCGTGCTGAAGTGTGTGTAAGATTTGGCTGCAGCATCAGCTGGGTAGCACACATGGTGAGGGAGGGGAAAAAACCAGTTCTGTCCTTTCACTGAACTGAGAAAGAGAGTATTAGGTCTTACTGTCGACTTTGAAAAGCAAGTTACAGCTTCTTTCCATAATACCCATTCACAGGCATCTCGGAGCTGTTGCGTCTTTTCTTTGACACTCAATTAAATCAGTGCTCTTAGTTAAAGACCTAAAACCAAAAGAGGGAATAAACCAGTACAACAGAGCTTTGCTTAAGTTCAACATTATCTGTACTTTGAAAGCCATGTTATAATAAAATAATTGCTAGTTCTACACTGAATGTGATGCTCTTGGGGTTCAGCTGCGTCCGCTGGAGCTGTGGATGCCTGGTGCCAGGAGCAGCACCTCGCGGGTGAATTCGGGCTGTTGTCTAAGCAGACTGTGCTTATCCTCTGTATTTTCTGCGTTCTTATGCAGTGCATGGGGAAGAACTTCTTCCCTCTGAGGGTGA